GAATCGGCATAATTCAATTCTATGGAATTGAATCTCGTGGAATTTCAATTCCAATTCAGTCAATTTCGTATACCAAACATATCCTTAGAGAATTGTATTATAGATATATCAAATTATCTCTCGTTTAAAATGAAGGCTAATAAGAGTTTGTCCTAATTGTGATATGAATTTATTAAGGTCTGATTTAATTTAATATAAATTTCTAGTCTGATCTATGAATTTTTCTACTCTAGTCTGATCTTATCAGAGCTCAATGTATTCCAATTAAAGTTTTTGAATTGGTTTGATCTGATGTGATTTGTTTTAAAAAAGAATAAGTGATACTCCATACGTTATAAGAATATTAGAGGAAGAATGTGCATTCAAAATGAATAATATCTCATGGATTTATATCTTAAAAATCTCATGGATATATATTTTAGAGTATATTAAGAGGAGGGCAAAAGAAGAAGAAAAAATCTTTAATTTACATCATAGTTTCACTAGAAATATCGAATTTCAATCTTTTTTAATATAAATTTTATAAAACTAAATTAATAAGATTTCATTAATTAATTTTATTGAAGTTGTTTTAATTCATTAAATAAAAGAGAGCACATTAAAGTAAAAAAACACAAAAAAATTACATCAATAAAAAACTACTTCATCTCCTATTTAGCTTTGATCTCCAACTTCCATATCTCCCCTTTTCTTCATCTCTTCTTTCCTAATATTGAACAACCGCATTTGTTCAACCATTTTCTGGCCGATAATTGTCGTGGGTGGAAACAGAGCCAAACTCAAAACCTGACCTAATTGCTTTAGCCTTCTTTCCTCCGATCGGGCATGGAATGACATCCTCGTCATTTGAGTCCTCTAGGTTCCCAAGAGGCTTTTGTTACGATGAGTCGATAGTGTCCTTCAAGTCAACCTCGGTAGAGAATATTTTCTTTGACGATCGAGCCTCTGGCTTGTGGGGTTGTTGCTATTTTGGTGAATTGCTTAAAACTTTCCATAGATTTAAGAGGGATTTTACCTTGGTGTATGTCGTTTTGATACCAAGCGGTCGCTTGCCTCAGAATATCGGCTCGATCGTCCTGCTTTTCTTGGACCTGATGCATTCCTTGTACACCCGATAAAATTTTAGGCTTTTCTATTTATGTGGCCTCATTTGGAAGTGAGTTGGTCCCTACTTGAGTGGGAGGGGTCTTTGTTATTGCGGCAAAGATTTTCTCCTCAATTTGATCTCCTATAGCATTAATTGTTTGATTAGTACCTTCAGGAAAATAAAATATACTCCGTATAATTTAACACAATTATATAAAAAAGAATATATATGATTTAACACAAATATATAAAAATTCCAATGATAGATTGGTCCGAGATGTCGACCCACACGGACGCCGACAAAACTTCTTCCTCTGATGTCCATTATATTTTTCTATTGACCATACCGCCTCGGTCATCGACTTTACGATCCTCGATAGAGCTTGCGAGTTTTCAGGAGTGCACTTTTTTCGGTGCACTTGGTTCTAGTTGAGTTACCAAAACTTAGTCAAGGCTCACCAAATTCACCGGTGGGGTTTGCGCTTTGAGAAATATCAGAAATTTTCCGAATATTTGGTGAACCCACTATTCGCGTACTCATGAGACTCAAGACCGGATTGAGGACTGGATGAAGGATTCATGATAAAAATTAAAAAGAAAAAAAATGAAAGATGAGGAAAAGAGAGAAATATATGAAAGATGAGAAGTATTTTGTGTGTGTTTTGTTTTTTTTAAAAAAGAGTTAATATATTGAGTGATTTTTAAATTTTCAAAGGCATTATAGCCTTTTGGAATGTGCCACCTTGCATATTCCACCCGTTAGAGGTTTGACACAAGAAACTTAACGCGTTGGTAATGCTCGGTGGCGGTGTTTAATGCCCTAACGATGTCAAATAGGCATAAATGTCCCTTGGCTCCCTTTCGAGTGCTCTTCAGATCATAGAAGCACAACTCCACAGGAAGAATGTGGATTCCAAAGGCAAATTTTTTCATAGATTTAATTAGTAATCAATTTCCCTCAAACACATCAAGTTTAGCATTCCATAGTGAGTTTATTGCACCAATGACTCACGGGTTTGGTAGAGAATAAATTTTTAAAATAAAAAATGAAATTTATAAGTGAAATAAATATTTAATTTGTTTAATTGTATTTCATCTTTTTTAATTTTTTTCAACTATTTTTAGTTTATTCTAAGTGTTTCTAACTTCTTCAAGTTTCTTCCAACTTCTAGTTTTTTTAAACTCATTACAGTTTCTTCTAACATCCAACACGATCTTTAAAACTGAAACAAACACTCGAACCGAGCCTAACTAAGAAATGCGAACCAAACCAAATTAGTCATAATTTATGCAAATTTTGTTTACTAATACTCTAAGTTAGCACATTTCTTAAAACCACAACTAGCACACGAGGTTTCGTTATCGGAGTTCCATAAAAAATCGTGGAAACTAAATAATTTTTTTTAACATCACAATCATCAATGTAACACCTCGGCCCCCACCCTGGCCGTAAGTGTCCGCTCATAGGATTGTAGACTGGCCCCACAAACCAACACACGTCTTTCCCGCGCACTTTGTAAGCACGCTTAACTTTGGAGTTTATAGGTGATGAGCTCTCGAAAAGAAGATGCACCTTGTTAGTATGAGTAGTACTATCAATCCTTTTGAGCTCTTCCCATTTCCATCTTGATACGGGGTATTACAATCAAAATATAAATAACGGGCCGGTTCCAGTGACACCGGAGAACGGTACCACTCCGGTGCCACTGGCTTTTGGGGTACCTCCAGTGCTCCGTTCGTAAAATTGACAGTTCCTACCCCCCCTAACCCATCCCCTATACCCTCCATCCCTGCACCCCCACCCCAACCCCGCCGTAAGCCTCCCCACAAAATGTGTGGCTATTATGCATAATAGCCACACATTTTGTGGGGGGCTTACGGCGGGGTTGGGATGGGGGTGCAAGGGTGGGGGGTTTAGGGGGTGGTTTAGAAGGGGTAGGAACCGTTAATTTTACGGACGGAGCACCGGAGGTGGCCCAAAAAGCCAGGGGCACCGCTAGTGGCACCGTTCTCATGTGTCACTAGAACCGGGACGTATAAATAATTCATTTTGAAATATTTATTGAACAATAGAATTCATTATCACACATCCATGCGACATCTCGTCCCCACTGCCCACCAGGATCAACACTATAATCATTCTTGGTTTTGTTTACTTGCGTGTAGAAAATAAAATATATTACACATCAACAACGAAGCTGAGTAAGAATATCTAATGCGTTGAACATACACATAAATAGAGTCACAGTTCACAACCAATCACATGGTATCATGCAGTCAATATACAATTAAATATTCAATATTCGTTAATTATGCTTTTGAACTATTTTAGTCTAAAGAAATCACTCTGAGATTGCATTTATCTAAACCCTCTTGCATAAATGAGTATTTAAATTGTGATTCTTTATGCTAAACAGATTTAGATGTAGCTGTTGAAGATGATTATATAATTGTTGAGTTTTTTCAAATACTCCGTATAATCAAAGGTTCGAAGATCCCACACCACAAAATAGTTTTTAAAAAGGGGTACATCAAAGAACATTGACCAAACATCTAGATTCTGTAATTGTAGAAGATTAGTAATTGAATAACTATGAAAGAACTTTATCAGTGCAATTGAGGTTTCAAGAAATCGAAACTGGAAAAAAGTTTACATGTCTCGAAAAAATTTGGTGTCATCCAATTCAGGAGTACCCTTGAGATTCTAGAGAAAAAAATTCTCAAGTCTTATGTTTTGTTATGACTATTAACAAAATTTAAGGTCAAATATTATCTTTTGCAGTGTTATTTTTCATCAATTTAGTATTTACTCATGGTCAACTTTATGTTACAAAGGCAGAGACATGATTAAATATATTGGTTCTAGATGACAATAGAAACCCTTACAATCATACCAAAAATGTTCTGTAGTCTGAAATATTTCAAAGAATTTGAAATTAAAAAAACATTTGAGTACACTTTCAATTCCTCAAATATATAATTTATTCTACTTTTTCGTTACTGTCTATTAATTAAAAATTGTGTTAGAAATATATTTACTTAAATTTAGAAAATGTAGTACGTTGAAAGAAATTTAGAATTGACAAAAATTGCGTTTGATTTCGTGTGTGGCACAGGTTAAAATACTAGTAACTACTCCCTCCGTCCTAAAACTTTCTTCCCACTTCTCCTTTTTCTCCGTCCTAAAACTACCTTCCCATTAGAAAAAAAAAGATGACAAATGACATTAATACCCTCATGTATTTACACCAATTATCTTCTAACTCTATATTTTGAATGATTGCAAAAAAAATTGCAAAAAATCTTTTTTAAGGAGGGTAAAATTTGAAGTCAAAGCCAAAAATTAAAAATGGGGAAAAGTCAAACTGGGAAGAAAGAATTAGGACGGAGGGAGTACATTGTAAAGAGTTTGGAAATATCTAGTTATGAACTGAAGACCAAACAATGTCATTATTTTTAAAATGGTAAAGTTAAATGGTGAAATTACTATGAAATCGTTTGAAAACAAAATTTTCACATAATGTTTCTTGTTTAAAAGATTATTTTTTCAAAAGAATAAATAAAACAAAACAAATAACGGCTGAAATGTTGGCGGATACTACAACTAGACCCGGCAAAATGGATTCGGACCCTATGACATGAACCAAACTACACCGACCCAATCAAAACTGATACGGAGTATTTAAGTAGTCCGCCATTTCTGTTCTTCTTCAGTCAGACCGCTCTCAACGACTCCCACAAATTTAGCGGAGGTAATTCCTGGTTTACATTCATGCGTTTAATAACCTTCTTCCCGCGTTAACACTCTCTCTCTCTCTCTCTGTTTCTCAGACCTCTCGTCATACACATCAACTTGATCGATCGGTCTTCAAGCTGCGAAATTTGCGAGGTTTTTAATTAATAGATGTGATATTCTGCTGAAATTTGTGAGGTTTTTTTATTTATTTATATAATTTGAGTTCAATTATGGATGGTAAATCTGCGTTAACTCTCTCTCTCTCTCTGTTTCTCAGTGCAGCACCTCTCGTCATACACATCAACTTGATCGGTCTTCAAGCTGCGAAATTTGCGAGGTTTTTAATTAATAGATGTGATATTCTGATGAAATTTGTGAGGTTTTTTATTTATTTATATAATTTGAGTCCAATTATGGATGGTAAATCTGCGTAGATAAACTGATATGATCGATCTCTATCTAGATTTCGCAAGCTAGGTTTTTTGGATTGAGTTCAATTTTCTGTTTATTTATATAATTTGAGTTCAATTATGGATGGTAAATCTGCGTAGCTAAACTGATATGATCGATCTCTATCTAGATTTCGCAAGCTAGGTTTTTTGGATTGAGTTCAATTTTCTGTTTATTTATATAATTTGAGTTCAATTATGGATGGTAAATCTGCTTAGCTAAACTGATATTTTCGATCAGCCCAAATAGCTTGATGGATCAGCTGAAATAGCTTGATCGATCTCTATCTAGATTTCGCAAGCTAGGTATTTTGAATTGAGTTCAATTTTCTGTTTGTTTATCTATTTTATTACAGTATTATTATGAAGTTTTGGATTGACACTCCTAAATCTGTGTAGTTCTTCTAGCATGCTTTACATTTTTGGGAGAGTTGAATATAGCATTTCATTTTACAGACAGGGACTCGTGTACATATAGATGTGTATATATCCGCATGATGTCCCTGATGACTCTTGTGTATATAGCATTTCATTTTAGAGACAGGGACATCATTTAATTATATGAAATATTCTGATAGATGGAAGTCAAAATTAAGATAACTCTTGTTGTTTTTGTTGTTGAAAAACGTACAGCCATGGAAGAACATGGTGTTGCCACTCCACAGCAAATGGAGGCAGCTGAAGCTGTAGGATTGAAACTGCATACGTTGCTGGCTAGTGAAGAGATTCATGCAGAGACCAGGGAGAAGCTCAGGAATATTAACCTTCTCCGCCAGGAGAAGAACAAGACGAATAGGAAATTGGACGCAGTCAACAAAGCGCTGTCCGTGCTTAAAAGGGAAGGCGGCAAAAAGAGGTGGGATGAGATCCTTTTACTCCAAGAGCAGAAGACGAATCTTTCAAGACAGAAGACTGCTCTAAAGAAGGAACTAGACTCAATTGACCCAGAAGTTGAGGAGAAATTCAGAGTGGAGTATAGACAGCTAACCGCAGTCAATGACCAAATGGATAGTGAACTGCGTGAAATGATTGCTGGTTACCGGGTGTGCCGGGTGACTACCTTGCGGGAGCTTGAGAGGCTGCGAAAGATTGGGATGCGGGTCTCGCCCATCCTCGATGAACACCAAGTGAATCTGATGCAAGTTGCCACGCTTAGGGACTGCACTTCCGCATGGTTGATTGCTCCACCCTAAACATCCTCTTCTCCCAAAAATACAAGCACGTGAAGAGATGGATTGGATACTCCCTTGCTTGTGTTCAAAAATACAACTTGCGGCTCCATCTTATATCTTAATAATGCTTGCTGGGTAATACCTTAGAACAGCAAGAAATGCAACTTTTACCTTCAAACTTGTTCTAGCTCTACATAGAATATATATATACTATATATGATAGCTGGCCTGGTGATGTTTGGGATGTGAGTAGACATTCCATTCCTGTGGGGGACACTATGCAATATCCTCATCTCACCACGTGTCCTCTCCCATCCCCACCCACCCCCGCGTATGATAAGCCATCAATCAACATCATAGGCGGCCTAGCTAAAAATATTGTATTGTTCCCCTCCCTTACCTTGTTGCAATCTAGCTATATTGGTCCGTATCAACTTTTTTTAGTCAAATTTTAAGATTCAATTCCTTGTAATGTATATTGGGGGTGTAGGGGTAGGCGTGGGCATGGTTAGGGCAGTTTGTGGAGGGATGATGGCCATGGTTTCGGAAGAGTTTGGAGGCAGGGGTATTGAGAGGGTTTTGGGGTTCGTTTGGGCAGGGGTTAGAGACAAAAAGGAGGTGGTTATTGAGGAGTATTAGGGCATGGGTGTTGATGTTATATTGGGGACAATTTGGGTAGTGGTTGTGGAAGGTAATGGCATGGCGTTAAGTGGCTTTTGAGCCATAGGTGTGGGAGAGGTTTGGGGAATATTTTGGGCAGTAGCTAAGGAAGAAACGGAGATGTGTTTGGATGGTGTTTGAACTGTAGGTGTGGGTGATGGAATGGGGATGGTTGTGGCCGTGTGTAGGGTGCTTGGTCTTGGTGTTTTTGGAGTGGCTTCATGGGGTGGTTTTTGTGGAGGCAAAGGCATGGTTGGGATATGAGTTTTAAAGGGGTTTGGGGAACCATGTGATGGTAATCTCTCAGCAAAAAATCAATTTTGTGGAGAATGAAATATTATTTTTTTAATAATTTCAACAAAATGAATCTAATCAAATTGTATTCAATTTAAATAAAAAAAAACAAATTAGACAAATTACACTGGAATGTATTTCCTAAAGCATGGGTCTCTGACATACAAATTAAGATATGACAATTTTTATTACTCATATTCATGTTACACTGTGCGAAAAAAAGTACTCCCTCCGTCCACATTTAAAATTCGCGCTTTGACCCGGCACAGAGTTTAATAAAAGTTAAACTCATGAACCAAAACGGGACAAAAACTCATGAAGGGGCACAATAATAGTCCTCAGGCATTAGCCCAATCATTCTCCCAGCCCAACTTAATATACCGGCCCAAATTACTTTCTCGGCCCAATATCCATTAATATAAAACCTATCTTCCTAATTCTACCCTTCACTTCCGCTCTTCCGCTGCTACGATCCCCTTTCTCCTCCTTCATCTTCGTCTCTTTGTCGCCATCTCTCCATCCATAAGTACCTGGCAAAACAGAACCGGAACCGATTACCCGAACCGAAATATCCAAAACCGAAACCGTAATGATCCAAAAAATAAAGATCTGATCTATAACCGAAAACCCGAAATGATCCGAACCGAACCCAAACCGAACTAAATAATTCATATCCGATTTAAATCCGAAACCGATTAGATCCGAAACCGATAATATCCGAACCGATTAAACCTGAAACCGATTAGATCCGGACCCGATAATACCCGAAACCGATATGAAACCGATAATATCCGAACTCGATTAGAACTAAAATCGATAAATTCAGAACTATGTTTACCTTTCAATAAGCATATTATATTTTTAAATTTTTTCTTTTATTTTACCATTTGAACTAGCTACATTACTTGCTCATTCCCTCATAAAATGGATTATCTTCTTGAAAAAAAGTACAAATTTTTATGCCTTAAATTTATTATATGTAGAAATTAAAGATAAGTTATACATATAAATGATAACACACAAACAAATAAAATTTCCGTAATTTTTAAATAGTGAAGTATTATATTCTTTTTGGGACGAAAGAAATATATATATGATGAATTGTATGGAATAATTAGATTTTATCCTAATTTCATCTCATTACAATAAATTTTATTGATTTGAGAGTTAATTTGATTAGTTTCAAACCAATTCACTCAATATTAGTCAATAAAATTAAATGCTAGTGTTAGCATTTTGAAATTTGATCTACATCATTACATTTAGCTATAAAATTAATTATATTTCACTCTATTAAATTTAATTTTCTCTATTTTCAACCAAATATACTCAATAATTTACAAATTTTGTACTCAATTGAATAAAATTCACTTAATTTCACCCAATTTTACTCAATTTTTAACAAATTCTATTCAAATGCAGCATAAGACTATTTGAATTTATCTTTTATCCTTTCATTTATATACATAAGTATATTAGTAGATGTGAGAAGATTTTTATATTTCAAAACTAAATTTTAAAATCAATTTAATTATATTAAATTTATACCATAATTAAATATATATGTTTTCATAATTTGTAGTCCAAATTTGTAAAATATGACTAAAAAGTCAAAAGGGGAAGATTAGAAAATAATATATATCCAAAATATATTTGATCCGAAACCGAAATATATTCGAACCGAACTTGACCCGAAATCGAAATATATCTGACTCAAATTGTATCTGAACCAAAATCTATCCGTACCGATTTATAACCGAATCGTATCTGAACCGACTCGAAACCGAACCGAACCGAAAAATGTATAGAACCGAAATCAAATCCGAATTGAAATTTAACCGATCCGATCCGAACCGAACCAATTATAACATATAACCGAAAGATATCCGAACCAAAAAATCCAACCCGAAACCGATCTGGTTGATCCGATTGCCACCTCTATCCATAACTATGTCTCTCCCTCTCTTTCTCATATTTTATTTTCTGATTATTAAACTATTTGATTTCAATGTGCACCGATTCTTTTCGTTGATTCTATTGTTTTTTTTAAATTGTTTTTTTGGATGATCTCGGGGTCCGTTTTGGTTTAATTTTTTTCGTTAAGATGTGTTACAACGCATCTTTAGATCATCCGATTTATATATATAATTTTAGGATATATATATATATATATAGACACACACACACACATAATTCTCTATGTTCTATTTCAAATTTTTCATTAATAAGATGTGTTACAATGCATATTTAGATCATTAGATTTATATATATATAATTTTTAGAAATGTATATTTCTGAAATTCGGTCCAAACCCGGTCCACCAAGTTCTTACTTTAGGCGGGAATACTGTTCATAAAATGTACCTAGCATTGTATATAGGAGGATGAAAACATACAAATCAATTACTACTATTAAAAAGTAAAAACCGTAAGCGTTCTTGACAGAGGCTTGGCGTTGCTCTTATTTATGACATTTATGTAAAATGTTATCCCTTCGTCCTACAAATTGTATTGTATTTTGACCACAAATTATTAAAAAACATATATTTAGTTATTTTGACCACAAAATAATCCCTTATTTTGGACTCTATTTAAAATATACTCTGTAGTTTTTATGTATCAAAATTTTATAACATTTAATTATTTAAAATTATATTTAATTTGCAATCAAAGTATAATCACAATTTAACCAAAAAAGTCAAATTGTGATCAAAGTAAATTCATTAAAACACCCAACTCACGAAAAAACCTCATCTCCCAAAGACCTTGTTTAATGCAAAGTTTTCAGAACTGGATCGGTGACCAAACCGCTCAAGGTACGGGTTCACTGGTCGAACTAGTGGTTCAACTGATCCAACCAGCATTGATTTAAACATATTTAAAAATTATATATATTAATACATTTGTAAAAAAAAGTAATTAATAACATTTGACTAAAATTATATTAATATACTCTCTCCGTCCGGAAATATTCTTCCCACTTTCCTTTTTGGTCCGTCCGAAAATAATCTTCCCATTTCCTTTCTTAGTATACTTTTTAAGTATAAATATCAATAATACCCTTCTATTTTATCACAAATCTACTTTTTTAGTACTTTTTTAATAATAAAAGGAGATTTAAAAGTTTATAGTATGTGCATTTTTGAAAATTTTGCATTTTTTTTACTATTCCTTAATAAGCGTGCCAAGTCAACACGGGAAGAATATTTTCGGATGGAGGGAGTACTTGAGTTATTTTACAGAGTTAAAAAATAAAATTTTCATATTCAAAAAATAATAATAAAGACTTTATAAATGAAGAGTTCATCTTATATTTTTCAAATGAGTTGTTTAATATTAAAAAACACTTTAATAAAATATGTGTATACGCACACACACAAACACACACACACAAAACATCGTCTCCCTCTATTATCCATCAATCCTCATCCATCCCAGACCTGATTCAACGGCTGATTGAGTTTTCATTTTAGAACAATAAAAAATTATTTAATTTAAAATTATTTCTCAAAATTAATCAAACCTATTCCCATAAAAAAATAACTTAAGCTCTCATATTAAATTACTTCCTCCGTCCCCAAACGGACCGTGAGAGTCTTGTGAGAGTGGGAAAAGAATTTTAAAGACTCTTATTTTAAGGTCAAAGTTCGATTAAAAGTCAAATTAAGACAAATAAAATAGAAGAGGAGTACATAGTTACGATCACCTTGATCGTGTTTAAAAACAGTGGTGATATACACGATTTTAAAACCATGCATGCATAAAATAATACTATATAACATAGTTATACTCTATATGGAGTATTATTTTAACAAATGATTAACAAAGTTAAGAGAATGAAAAAAAGTGTCTGACGGAAGAAGTACTTAAATGATTTACATAGTACTTAAATGAGACTTAAGCTTTGAGACGGAAGAAGTACTTAAATTAATTACTCTAGAAAAGCAAAAAATATATATATAAATATTACCGAGTATTTTTTATTTATTTAACTATATTTACAACAAAAAAAAAAAACTAAGCAGCATCTCAACTGCAGTTTGCATGGGCTTATTCTTAGGACTAATCAATCTACTTTGTCCCATACAGTATCGTATTTATGTACAGACAAGTTTTGTTTTGTACTCCGTATCTTTTTACCGCTTTTAGAAATTGAAGAGCTTCATGCAGAAAGCAAAGATTAGTGCAAAGAGGAGCACAAAAGCAGAGAGAATGGCAGCAGTTTCTCCCAAGAAGTCTCGTCTGAACCCGAAATAAACCCTCAAGAAGCTCTCCACGTGTCGAACGTCTCCAAAACATCCTCAACGTCTCCAAACTGCGACCCCACCAACCCGTATAGCGTCCAAGCAACCGGAGACAGCAGGTAACACCATCTCCACCACACCGGAGCAAGCTGCCATCACAAGAAACACGATGATGATGATGGTGATGAAGATGGTGGTGGTGGTGATGATGATGATGATGGTGATGATGATGATGATGAGAAATGCATGTTTTCAGGTCGAACGAAGTTAATTTAACAAACTTAGGGTCCGTTTGGTATATGGAATTCACGGAATTGGAATTGAAATCCTATTGGATTCAATTCCATAGAATTGAATTCTACCAATTCCTATTCATTTTTTGCACTATGAATTCCAAATTCACATAATTTTTGTGCTACCAAACATCAGAATTGGAATTGAAGTCCTCAATTCCAATTCTATAATATGAATTCCCTATACCAAACGGAGCCTTAGTTAACATTAGAAATGGTTGAAAACTTACAGGCCGAGGAATCAAGAATCCGGAGAAGAGGTTCCATATTCCCAGAGATGCAATGGAGAAGATGGATGCGATGTCCACATTCGGTGCTAAGGACACTGACATCATACCAAGGAAGGTGGAGTACAAGAATGTCAAGAACATGATTAGAAGGTACCATGAAAATTTTGCAACAATCCAATCATGGAATAGACCATGGTGCTGTAGATGATTGCTTGCAGCAAAACATATGGGAGCTCAATAACTACCTGCAATATAGATAGTATCAGAACTGCTAAAATGGCTGACATGAGAAAAATATCATGCTTAGAAGAAGAAGAAGAAGAAGAAGAAGAAGAAGAAGAAGAAGAAACCATTGGATTTATAGACCAAGATCGTCTATCATGTTATTTCTTAATTATTACTCCCTCCGTCCCGAATTAGTTGTCCACTTTCTACAACCTCTCGTTTTTAAGAAATAAGTTTAAAATGTCAAAATAAATCCTTCAAATTAGTTTGTCACTCATTCATGTCAAGAATTTCACTCGTGACTCATCTCTCAAATATTGTAGAGAATTCATCATAATTTCTTTATTGAATAAAGAAAGCAGACAACTAATTCCGTACAAACAAAAACAAGAAAGTGGGAAACTAAATCTGGACGGAAGGATAATAAATTATCAAATACCGCCTCCGTCCCCAAATCAAATTCACACTGGCATTTTCTGTCCATCCCCAAAAAAATCACATTTCTTCCATTTACTTTTAGGAAAAGAATATGCAGCTCACCACATTTCTATCTCTTCTAAACAAATCCCAATCACATGTTTCAACAATTTTCTTAAACTCTATAAAGTCAAACTAGGACTTTGATTCAAATACAGAGAATCTATATTAAGATTAGACTTCTGCCTAAAATCATACATCAAAATTGACCCTTAGACTGAAATTGTGAGCATACTGAAGCACAAGGGAATGGTAAGGAAGTGTTTTATTGCATGTAGAAGTAGGCAAGTAGCACATGGGTGTGACTGTGTGTGTGCACATTTTCTGACTCCAAAGCCTTTTTTAATACTAAAAACTTGTTTGGAAGCATTAATTTGCTTATTTTGTTTTTCAACAGAATAAACAGAACAAACAGCCATTGACTTATGTGGATGAAATCAATTTTACCAAATGCATTTTCTTTCAAAGAGACAAAAGAGCTCAGTGGATTTGCCATGGTTTTGTGGTGAGGTCTGTCCTGTCTGTGCTTGTTCTAGGGTTTGTATCTTTGATTTTAAAAAAATGTAAAAAATGGACCCTGAATCAGTACACGAATATGTATAATAATTGCTATAGCAAGTGATAGAGTAAATTCTTAGATGTCACAAATCAAATGCTCTAACTGTCACCTTCAAGAACGAGAGTTGGGCTCGACCTTGGGCTAAACACCTAAACCCATCACTACAATATATAGCTGATGAGCATAGTTTTTTTCCCCCTTTCTTTTTTGTTTCTGAAGTATATTCAAAACTAAAAGCTATATTTACCATTGCGAAGGCAAAAGGCATGGCTGAATACATTCCTGCAGCTCTTTCTCTGTAAAATACAGTCCGCTCCAATACAACTACTCGTTGGACAGTGAATGCATTTAAAGCACCAGTAAAGAGAACCGATGTATACATGGAACCCATGGCATTGAACAAATCTTGTGCCTTACTCCTGCCAATCAAGATGTTGAAAAAAGAATTGGTCTAGAAATGTAGAAAATGTCAAACTCAGTTTATTATCAACTAGAATTTTTTCACCCATATTTTATTCCGGATTTATATATTCAAGTTTTGGTAGAAAACTATGCATTTGTTACCACTTTTGGTACTTCTGATAACTTCTCTGATACAACTCTACGTTGATTTTTTTAGGATTAAGCTACTGGAACCCCAAAATATGTACCCCAAATTGTACACGATAGGTGTGCACCTTCATTTTGTGCCAATGTGATGCCAGGATGATGGTTCACACAAACACAAAATGTTAGTACAAATTTTTTATTATTGCACTAGCATTTTGTGTCAGTGAACCATCAAAATGTTACTGTAAATCCTTGGTGTACACTTTGGGGTACACTCCTTCGTGTAACTCTAGCATGGTTGATTTTTTTATGGTCAAGTGGCCAGAAAGGACAAAAATGCCAATAAATTCATAGACATGCGCCAAATGTAGAAAAAATGAAAGGCAGGATCCGGAAATGGGAACAACTGAATAGTCATGGGTGATGGGACCTACTTATGAGCTATGAATGTATACCTCTTTAAACCAAGACCCCAGAAGATTGTCCCAAAGACAAATGCAGTAACAATTGTGTAGACGAATCTAAGTGCGTTGTAGGACATGTTATGCGAGTAAGACCATTGTTGCTTCCATAGACATGCTTTGAATTGAGTCAGGAGGGGGTGTGCTCAGTTGTTTTACCAACACCTTGTTTCTCCTGCAACGTCTCAGATATTAAGGAAACTCACGGCAAACCCTTTTCTATGTTTTGTAATAAGAAAATCCAAGCCTTATATAAGGAGTATATAATTGATCATATTTTTGCAATCTTTCAAATGAAACAAATAATTCTAAAGTACTCCCTCAGTCCACAAATTAACTTCCAATTACTATTTTGGGCTCTCGATAACTTTTGTTGATTTGTGTGTTTTCATTGATAATTTACAACAACCCAGTTGAATAAAACAAGATGTGTTTTCACATCTTGTTTTATAGAAATTTTGATGTACTTTAAAATATGTAATTTATACTTTTAATTTCTATATGAATTTGTAAATAAAATAATTTTAAAAGAGATCAAATTTTGCATATTTTGAAACAGGAAGTTAATTTATGGACGGAAGGAGTACAAAATAATAAAAAATCACTTAACAACAATACGGGGTATAACACATGTGGTGCAACATTTTTTAAAGAAAATAACACTTCCCAAACTTGTCATTTTTGTACATAATGAGTATATTCTATAGGTAGTCTTTTATAACAAAGTGTTTCCATAAATAGTCCTCAAGTCGAATTTATTATGTTTGTGGTCCTCTATATTTGAGAACTATTCCATGATGAGTCTTTTGGACCCAAATTTGTTTTCCACATATAGTCCACAAAGGACTGATTAAGGAATAGTTCTCAAATATAGAGGACCACAGCACAAACATAATATCTTAGAATTGAACACTATATATGGGAAACTCTATTTTATAAAGAACTATTTATAGAAATTACTCATTATTTTTCTATCCCACGCCAAATTCCCATTTAGAGGAGCCTTGGCTCCGCCAATGATGCCAACTTACAGGTATAGGTCTGAATTTCTGTAGATCCTTTCTTATTCTGCTGATTCCTTCAATACTCGAGATGAAAGAAGAAAGGAAGTACTCAAAATGAATATCATGACAACCATATAAATACCTCAAACCAGACTCGTTCTGTGAAGCCCATCTTGTTTAATAAAAAGACAACAAAAGTGCAGGGAGACTTACCTCAAAATAATTTATTAAATGGCTAATGGCAAGAACGTTCCCCTAATGGGCCAAAATAAACCTCCCGCCCTCCTTGTGTCATTAGAAGCAACTGCAATAATCAATCACGGAATTATACTGCACACTGAATGAGAAAAAAATGTGCCAGGTATCCCATAATGTTTCTCTACTGGGTTTGAGTCTAGTTTATAAGTTTGATGTAAACCTCACCTATTAAGGATCCTTTTGGAGTGTGTCAGACTCAATTTAATAAAGAGGAAGCGAGATGTGTCAGCACATAGACAAGGAATCAATTACCTCATCAAAAGCTTCAAATATGTCAATGCTTGGCTGGTGGATTGTGCAAGCAATGGTTCTACCAGTGTTAACAATGTTCCGAATTGTCCTCATAATTATTGCTGCTGCACTTGCATCAAGGCATGTGGTTGGCTCATCCATGAACAAGATAGAAGGATTAGCCACCAATTCAACTGCAATAGTGAGCCTCGTCCGTTGTCCAGTTGAGAGACCATTCACCTCTGGTAACCCAACTAGTGCTTCCCTCAAAGTGGTAAGTTCAACCAACTCCAGGACCTCCTCGATGAACATCTTTTAGGATTAACCGTGAAAATGAAAAAGAGGGTACGATCTTGGCAAGTGCAAGTTAGGAACAACACTTTTTCTACCAAATATAAACATACTCAACTGCACCAACACTATATAATAAAAAATATCAAGGATATTGTTTTGTTTTATTGCTCTATTTAACACTCTATTTATCCCATAAAAAGAGACATGACTGTTTTCAATGAGGACGGGGCTCTAGTTGTGTGTTCATATTTGATGAATCACTACCACAAAACTATGCCTGTCAGAATAGTAGTTATGTTCACCAAGGAAAGTTGTGGACTTATATCTCTAATACCATGTGAAATAATAAGAGAAATAACAGATTTAATGAATTTATAGGCCATAAATCTTCTTCTACGTCCTAGTTTTTACCTTAACTTCTATATTCCACATACCACCAAAGAACTTATTTTTACTATTGGAAAGGTACAGCTGTTATATGTCATAAATGGTTACCTAATAATTTATAAGCATTTTGATAGTTTAACTAAATTTATCATTTTAAACTTGTTTGTTACTGTATTTGGGAAATGTTTGTGAAAATATCTTCATTTTGATCAAGAATGACAATTTTTCAGAACAAAAAAAAAAGTTGGGTTATCAGTACCAGTAACAACTTATATGGTCTGAAGAAAGAGTATCCTGACGAATTGGATTTGTGGGCGTGAGAAGTTGGGTTATCAGTACCGGTAACAACTGAAACGGTCAGGAGTACGAGTGTCCGGATGAATTGGATCAATGGGAGTGAGAAGTTGGGTTCAGTGCCGGTAACAACTTATACGGTCAGGAGTAGTGTATCCGGACGAATGGGATCAATGGGAGTGAGAAGTTGGGTTATACAACTTTTACTGTTATGAGTACCAGTGTCCTGAGCACTCCACCGGAAAAATCTGACACCAAGTCCAAAAGAGCATAGTTCAAAATTCCAATCAAAAACATAGGGAACTAAGTGAAGGGATAGTGGAAATTACCTGGCTTGCCGTTCTCTACAGCAGGCTCATGCACAAACAAAAAAACAGAAAAAGTTTGATCTTTGAAGAAAAAATTTGATCAAAAAACAGAAAAAACAGAAACCCTTCTCTACAGCGTTCACGATTTCGTCGGGTCCGGCGATCGCGACCCGCCGGGTGGGTGGGGCGATTGGGATTGCGCCACGTCCGGCGTTCTCGGATTCCGTTGGGCGCGGCAATGGCGACTCCGCCGGGTCCGGCCTTCGCGATGCGACCGGCTCCAGCGAACGCGAATCCGTTGTGACAGATTGCAAATTTGCAATTGCGCCATGACATTCCTCCGCATCCGGAATTTCTGATTCCTCCGCATTCAGCGTTGGCTCTTTTTGCACATGCGTTTCCGAAACGTGATCCTACATCTCAACTAAGAAATTGTTTGGCGATGGAGTGTCGCTGGCCATGGAGGCTAACGTTGCTGGGCAGGGTCGGACCCAGAACGAGAACATTGGGTCGCAGGTCTAATCCAACAGCTTCGAATAAACAATATTCTACAATACATAATATTAAAGTTTATATACTCTATATTATTGAAAATACTAATTAAAAATAATTCTACATTGGACGAAAGTTACGATTATAATCTGACATTACTGTAACAGGAAACTTATGAGCTTTAGGTTGGAAAGGACCTTTTTTCATATAAAAACGACGAATTTCATCTTGTACATTTGGATTTTTGGATGATAATCTATAATTCTCTTTCTTAGTCCCGGATCAGCCTCTAATGATTCAAAATCCAAAGATGATGATATATTTGGATTCAAATTTGATGTTTCCAGTGGATGATTTAAAGATGACGGAGCATTTGCGTTCAAATTTGATGGATTCTCACTCGATTCTTTCTCTTTAAATCTTAGTGCCTTTTTAAATACCTTTGCATCCTATATTGAAATTTAAATAATTAAAAACATTATAAACTTAAGTACATACCCTAATTATATTAACATATTCACAAATTACAAATCAAAATCTTACAAAATAAATAAACGAATTCAATTCTCTATTTTGCTATTTAGAATAACAAATTTATAAAAATTAATTTAAATTATTACAATTTACAAATAAAATAAAAATATCCAATTTAGATAAATCAATTTAAGAGAAAAAACCTGGTTGTTCGAGTAATTGGGGCCTTGGGGGGTTCTCGTCGCCGTCGTCGGTTCCAACTTTCAAGCGGCGGACGGCGGTCGGCAATCGGCGGAGGTTTGGCGATCGGATGGTCAATTAGGTCTGGACTCTGGAGATCTGGTGCAGAATTGCAGAAGTGGGAAGTGTCGATCGGAAAAGAAAAAAAGAAAGCCGTTTAGATTTTACTCTTTTTAAAAAATAAAATGTAAAGTCAGCACCTACAGCTAGATACGAACTCAATATCGCCCAGACGACCACCCGAACATGGAACAACGTAGCTATCCACTCCTTCAGTGCTGGCAAGTGGAAACATGAAGCGTTTTGTAGTATATATACTAACTAGCATTGCTCCACGCGATGCGTGGATTAAAGTGCCCGATATTATCTTTTTAGAAATTATTATCATAATTTTCTTGTTATAGTAGTGGATGACCAAACAAAATAGAAAAGTGTAACAAAATATTAAAGAAAGAAAAGGGGAGAAAAAACTAAAACAAACATTTAGAGTCCAATCCATATAGTTAATTAAGGAGTGAAAATCCCAAGCTCAAAAGCAATTTCAGGTTGTGCATAATGTTGTTAGATGAGCACTAATCAACAACACTAAAAATTAGTTCATTGTACATTAAGCAACTGCAATTAGAAAAAATTCACACCAGATTCACCAAAGCCATATTGAAAGTAGCTCTAATTTGAGATTATTATACCAACAAAGCAATAAACCAATAGTCTAATAAACGAACAAACTCAACTTTTGCCATCAGCAAACCAACCTCATGTAGCAGTTTGACCAACACATAAGGTCAGAAATAATTGAAACCCATTCTCAAAATCTTAAATTCCATAGGCACACACACCGGCTAATTGGTCCATCAGCTTCATATCTAACTGCATCAGCAAAATTGCAATAATCATCTCAAAGCAGTTCCAAAACCTGCAACATGTGCCTATTGTAATAATCTAGTAAGCATTGCACACAAAACTTATGCAGGTATGAATCAAGACTTTGCATTTTGTAAGAATGTTTTGCTCTATCTCTTTTCTAGGCATTCTGAAAAGGGATCCATATATAATAAAAAAGGAAATGTTCAAAACATACATAATAGGATTTTAAATAATAAGGGTTACGACAAAATTTTAGAACAAAATTTGAAGAATATATAAGACATCAAAAAATAGATTTTTAGAACAAAGAGAATAATAACAATGGATATATAACACGCGTTTTGTAAATTGGTAACCCACAAGGTGTCAAACAAAAACTCAAGTCAATCATAGCAAACAAATGTTTGGAAATCTATACACTTCTGTACAGTAGAAATGGATAAGGGGTAAAAGCAAACCTGAAGCCTCAAGCGCAAAACATAGGGAGGGCAAATAGTCGCATGCACATAAGCTTGACATAGTATGTATTCCTGGCATAATCAGCTAAAATGAAATATAGGAGAGAATCGTACTGGTAGCACTGGCCAAACCTTCAACTAAAAAAAGCATGTAAGATCATTTTAGCGAGTGCACATGTGTATCAATTTACAATATCAAGCACAAATCAAACCACGTAATACACTTCATCATTTTAGTAAGTGGACCTGTGTACCATGATAAATACAAATAACTCAAAGTATTGCAATGCCTATAGAATATGCCAAAAAAATATCTCAAAAGGTACCTCTATGGATAATAATTTAGAAATTAACACATTAGATGTCAAATTTGTAAGGGATCATATGCGCAAAACAGTGGTGGGTCCAAGATTTTAGCTAGATGGGGGCACCATTAGTCGGGGGGTCTGGGGACAGCGCCCCTGGATTTTTTAATAGACAATATGAATTGACAAAAAAATACCGGAGTAATAAATTTTGTTTCGAACATTCCTGTTTTGACTTGGGAAGGATTTATTTTCGTAGTTTGACCTTCTAATTATATCTTTATCATCAAAGAAAAAAGAGAGACAAATCATTTAAATGACTTATTATATCAATCCAAATTGAATTGAGTATATTGCAACCACTTAATTTAGATATATTAGTCATTTTTTACAAATCTAATACAGAGAGAGAGAGAATTTGATTTTTTAAAAATTTCAACTGATGATTTGAACTTTGAAGTATGAACAAAAGTATGTGTTTGTAGTGATTTTTGCCTATGTATAGCAAATTTTTTTTATGGAATATCTAGATGAATCCAGCAAAATCATCTTAGAGGGTGAAGACAATAATTTGAGTAAAAGAGTGTTGTTGTTAAATAAGAAAATCTCAAAATCTACCAACATATTCAAAACCTAACCTGTGTTTATTTTTAATGGGTTCTGTTTAGGAGCATTTAAAAGACAGATGCTACAAACATTCCATGTGAAATTATTATTTGAAAGAATTTAGATATAAAAAGAGAGAAATCCAGTATATTCAACAAAGGTAAATTTATGCAATATATTACCTTTGATTTAATCATATCCCTTAACAGTAAGGACTAAGGAGCATAAATAATTAACCACTTACCATCCAAAAAATATTAGGTCTATTGGACTTAGAAGTTGATCACCCAAATCTTGTTAAATATTTGTTGGTTTCTAAGCTTGAACCAACAAAAGGTGATGCTCCAACATTGGATACATTTAAGTTTTTCCTTAAAATTTATGAGGAAAAAAAAGAAATTAACATAAGATATACGGAAGTTAAAGCTCAATAAAAACTTGAATTCATAAAATAGAACAAAAGCAATTGCGGATTTGAAAATACCTCATTTCAAATCAAAGACAAGCTGGTGGTAACTTGTCGCAACCGGATTGTGGGAATAGCTGGGAACATGGATGACGAGAGGGGAGCCAACTACGTACACAGAGTTCTGGTCGGAACTGTTGTTCCCTAGACCTGGAGTTTACACTTAGAAACGGCTAAGCACCGATATCTCTACCACAGCGGCTGGCAAGAACCCTAAAATCCTGAGTTCTATTTTTCTTGAGATTTAGTCAATGGTAGTGGAGTATTAAAATCCAACTCCCCACTACCGAAGTAAGTCTGCTTCTAATAGGTGACGGGCGATAAAACGGCGAGGATATTTTTGACCAAAAAATGTAGAAGTACTCCTTCTTGAGCATGGCGTACAAGAAATTTGGATGGAAAAAGTACATATTATTAATGGGTACCTAACTCTCTCTCCCATTTATATAGATAGATAGAAAGATTGTAGGTATTCATTAAAAAAATAAATATATATATATATATATATAGTAAAAAAATTTAAAATTTTCGTGGGGTCGCTTGACCCCGTATGATCCTATGTGGGTCCGCCCCTGGTTGCTGGCGATTGGGGGCGACAATGAAGGGGATGCGGCCCAAAACAGAGCATTTGGTAACCATTCACTATAAATCAGCCCCTCACCATCTCAATACATTCATCTTAAACGGAAGAACTATGCTAGGGTAGCCCTCACCCCTTCCCCCCCCCCCAATTTTATCCACTTTTTATTTATTTAATTTTTTTTAAAGTTCTTGTCCATTTATGTGGTAATGGAAAGGGTGGGATAAATGGGGTACACTTTTAATGTACCGCAAGCATTTATCTTGAATCACTCCCTTCACAACCTAGTGCTTCACCTCCGACGAAGGCCTTATCTTATTTTTTTAAGTTTTTTTATTCTTATTAAGATTGAATTAAATCACATCAAATCAAATCAGATCAAACCAAATTATATCAGATCTATACAGACCAGATCCAATCAAGAATTATTATGATGATGATGATGATAATTATTATTATTATTATTATTATTATTATTATTATTATTGTTATTATTATTATTATTGTTATTATTATTATTATTATTATTATTATTATTATTATTATTATATTGCTATTATTATTATTCTTAAAAATAAAAAAGAATAAACTTTAGAAACAAGTTAAATAGAAAACTGAGAAAGTAATCTTTAATTATATTCTACTATTTTTAATTACGTTTAATTATTTGATTAAACTTAGGTGATTATCGTAGCCACTTCTCCTCATATGTGTGGCTCCTCCTCATTTGTGTTTTTGATATATACATGAGAGAATATTTTCCTTTACCATGGCTCTATGAGATCCTCTTCCTACGGAGTTTACCAATGTATAATATCTAAACAAATTTGTACGTATTAAATTAAATCGCATATTTAACACCTATGTTTGACCAATATGTTTTGGTATGATAGATTATTCATAAAATCAGTCATATATTTTTTTTCAGTGTGGAATTCATATGTATATTTAACACCTATGTTTGACCAATATGTATATGTATATGTATATGTATATGTATATGTATATGTATATTTGAGAGAAAATCCAACAAAATTCACAGAGTACTACTCCGTAAAATTTATAGATTCTTAAATACATCAAAATTTTTAAAGACTCTTGAGAATCCAAATTAAATACTTTAATATTTTTAAAGATTTTGGAAAATCTCTATTGAATATCTCAAGATTTTTAAAAACTTTTGAAAATCCATATTAAATACACTCAGATTTTAGAAATCTAAAAAAATCCTACAGACTCCAATTCAATAATTCTAGCATATGAAAAGAAAGAGGAAAAATAATAAATAAAATTCTAGCATATTATAATATAATTAGTAAATACTTAGGGTATTACTTGATTTTTAAAGATGGCAAAGAGCTTTCAAATATAAATGATTCATGTATATTTTTAGATAAAAGTAACAAAAAATGCTTTTTTCTTTAAAATGACACGGGCTAAATTCCACAGTTGGTCCTTCAAGTTTTTACGTCATGCACGGTTATTCCTTCAACTTTATAAAGTCCACGAATAGTCCTTCAAGTTACGTTAACGTGCATGATTGGTCCTTCCGTTATGTTTTCTGTTAGTCCATGCATTTTTCCCATTTTTCATTATAAATACATGTGAGGGACGCTCTCTTCTTCATACACTTGAGTCATATTTCATGTAGATCCGTTGTAATTGAAATGTTAGATAACAAATTAACCCCGATTGACGGCAAATAACCAAAACTTGATAAATACTTTAAAACAGAGTGTGTATCTTTTCAAAAAAAATGGACTAATAAAATCAAAAATGACATATTATTATTAAACAATGGACTAATAAAAATAAGAATTACTTCTTATTATTAAAAAATGGATTTATATTAAATATTGTTCAATTATATGAATAAGAGAAGGTTCCTCACGTATATTTGTAATGGAAAATTGAAAAAATGTAATTTACGGAAGGACCAACCGCACATCGCTATTGTGACTTGAAGGACCATTCATGTACTTTATAAAGTTGAAGGACTAACTATGCATGACACAAAAACTTGAAGGACCAACGGTGGAATTTATCCAAATGTCATGTATTTATAAAGTTTATATAAAATAAGTACTACGTATTTCAATATGCATTACATAACTCTTTTTTCGAAAAACAAAACATTTAATTACAATAAACAAAAAATGATACGGGTTTATCACAAGGTTGCATAGAAATATTAGCAAATTTCATCATTGTTCTCTGAGGAAATCCTTCTCAGTTTAGGCCAAACTTGTGACTCGCCCGGACTAAGGTCTAGTTCCCTTCAACTTTTTTTTCTTATTCTTATTAAAATTAGATCATATCAGATCAGACCAAACTAGATCAGATCAGATCAGATCAGATCCAATCAAATTAGATCAGGCCCAGTCAAAAATTATTATTATTATTATTATGATTTAGATTATGATTATTATGATTATTGTTATTATGATTATTAGAATAGTTAATGTTATTGTTGTTGTTACTACTATTATTATTCCTAAAAATGAAAAAGAATAAATTTAGAAACAAGTTAAATAGAAAACCAAAAAAGTAATTCTTAATTATAAGACGTCGGAAAAATTACTTTTTTAAAAATATATTGACAATGTCAATCTAATTCTACTTTTAAAATTCATTTTTATTGTTACGTGTAATTTGAGTTTCTAAAATTTTGATCTTTTACCACATCGAGTTGATCACCTTTGATCATTACTTAAATAAAATTAACATTTGATATTCATATACGGAGTACATTTTAGTGTAACTGAAATAACTATTATATCTATGATGTTATATTAATCATAAAAAAGGTTTCGTAGTACAAAGCACACGTTGATATTTTATAAGTATGAAATATTTTAATAAAAATACTATCTCTTCTCCATATGGATTGTCTAAATTTAATTACTTTTTAATGTGTATATGAATTAAATATTAAATAAATATTCTTATTTCATAAAAAATACTCATAAAATATAAAATATTATTAAATTATAAAATGAATGATTATTCTAATGCATGAATTAAAGAATTTTATTTT